GGGGGGGGCGGTTCATAGAGCCCCAGCACCCACAGGGGCCTGTGAGCCCCCTTTTGTAGGGGCTTCAGATGGGCCCCTTCACCCCCAGGAGGTTCCTGTTCCCCACTGCAGGCTTCCAAGGGAGCCCAAGCCTCAGGCCAGGAGGATGCTCAGATGCCTGCACCCATGAGTGCCACAGCCACCCCTTGGGCTGGGGGGATGCTGGAGCCCTGTGCTGGCAGTGGTTTCCCCCAAAATCATTAAAACCTCAACCTGCCCCGCTCTGCTCCCAAGTAACAACCTGTGCTCTGACACCCGTAGCTCAGGAGGAGAAAGGGAACATGCCTGGAGCCTCAGCACATTAATTATGAACCACCTCCTTTGCTGAAGGCTGTGCCCCTGCCTTGCTGGGCAGCACAGGAGCAGCACCAGCAGCTGCAGCTAGCTCTGCCAGGGTAAAATTAGCTCTGTGGAAAGAGCCATTGGCTCCCTCTCTCCCACCTCAGGGCACTAAGGTGGTGCTGTGTCCCCAGGGTCACCCCCATGTCTCTGGTAAACCAGCCCCAATCCTGGGGAAAGAAACAGGGCAGCAGCTGCAAACATAGGGACTGCAAGGACCCCGAGCCACATGCAGGGCCAGAATTTGGCCCTGGGGATGGACTGCACAGAGGGGTGAGGGGGAGTCTCATTACCCACCTGAGCAGCTGTGCACACCCAGACACTGTCCCCCAGCTCCCTCCCCACTAACCCTGCTCCCCTGCCCAACAACACCAAAGGGACACAGAGCCAAAGAGGCAGTGACCTGCAGCCAGCACCTCGGCTTTATTCCAGCCCCTCCACCATCCCCTCCCGCCAGCTCCCCCCACCTGCCTACCAGCAGGGAGCTTCCAGGCTTGCAGAGATCCAGGTTTGCAAAATCTTTGCCCAGCCGAGGTCTCAACGTGCTTTTTTTTTGCCATTTTTTCCCCCTTTTCCCCATGAGCCAGAGGTGTTGCAGCCCCGTCACCGTAGCGGAGTGATGCTCGTGCGGAGATTGGTGAACCCTAGGGGGTTGGTGAGAAGGGGCCCAGCAGGGCCAGCAGGAGCAGGGGGGAGAAGAGCTGGCAGTGCCCCCTGCACGGGGACCCACTGCTGGCCGTGGCCGCCCTGGAGGCGAAGACCTTTCTGCTGCGGAGGGGCTGGGGCGGGCGGAAGTTGTTGGTCATTTTGAGGGGCGTGGGGCCGGTGGCCGGGAAGTGCAGGGTGCTGACGAACGGCCGCAGCTGCACG